CTCCACCGAGACAGCGGTGACGCTAATCAGAACTAGCCTTCTGATTAGCTAATCAGAACTAGCCTTCTGATTAGCTAATCAGAAGGCTAGACCGTCCAATTTCACGCCTTTAAACTTTAAAGGCGTGTTTGTGTGTGTGTTTATACAATTGCTATTATGTTTGCACTTTATGTGTAATGTTACTGACTGCAGAGATCAGTAAGATGTGTGTATTTTTTATTTATTAGTTTTATTTATTTAATATTATTTTTTAATTGAATGACTGTCTAGTAGTTCACAGATGTCGAAAAACTGAGTGTGGTAAAGCCACTGATTTTTTTTATGTATATTTCTGCAATCTGCACATTGTACTGACTTTCATTTTAATGTTTACACCAGGGTTCCTTGTCAGCACTTTATGCTCAGATGTTTGTAAGCTAAAAATAAACTATTGTGTATGTTCAAATATACTGTTGTGATTGAAGAAGTTAAATAAAAATGTCAGTCATCAATTCATGCATCACCTCATGTCATCATAACAGAGGTCTGTCTTCCAGGAAAGAACAGTTTAAAATTAATGTAATATAGTATTGGCCATACTATATGATGTATTGCTTGTCTTTGTTTAATAATACAGAAGACAAAGACCTTAAAAAATAATCGCATATCGCATCGCAATCGCAATATTGGGGCAAAAAATCGAAATTAGATTATTTTCCATAATCGTTCAGCCCTAGTCTCTACGCAACGTTACTCGGCCTCGCCTCCCCCATAGCTTCACCTGCAGGCAATGACAAGATGAAAGCGGAAAATCTCCGTTAGCGAGTTACCGTGCGTGGGGCTGGATGGCGTCAACGTGTTAGCGAGCTAACCGCGCTAACGACATGCAGCCCAGAGGGCTGCACGGCCTAAAATCCTTTCCTTTTCTCAAAAATCGACAGTGCGCCTTATGTATGAATTCTGGTTGTGCTTACTGACCGCGAACCGATTTTATGTGGTACACAGCGCTCAGCAATCTGTCAAAAAATGTTTTAATATGACTTTGCTAAGCTACGGAGCTGCACCGCTTGATGGATTGTCGGAGAATTACGGCTACAGAGGAGGAGCCTCGCGGAGTGATACGTACAGTGTGTGTATAAGGACCACAAACGGCACCTGTTCAGAGACGTGGAGCAGCTGTGAAATCTGTCTCTTTGTTATTATGCTCAGCGTCTTTTAGTTTACATTTTGACTGCACAATTGTGAGCTTTTTGTTATGCACAAAAACAACATTATTTTCTTTTATTTATGGACCATGATTATTTAATATATGCTGATAATTTATTTTTGAGTAATATCTACGCTGTATGTAAATAAAAGTGCCCGTGTGACATCTGGGACACAGTGTGACTAAGAACTCTCTTTTTGTTCTTAACTTATGGCTTTAAAAAGAAAAATCGAGATATATATCTTATATCGCCATCCAGCTAAAAAATATCGAGATATGAATTTTGGGTCATATCGCCCAGCCCTAAAGCAGACAGTCTCATTATTCTACAGACATATGGCAACATAGCCCTAAAACTGCAGAGCCTTGTTTGTAATTGCAAACAGGTCTCATATTTGTTGTTTATGTGCTCACACACAGTCTGACACCAGCACTTTACACTACAAGCCACATTCACATATTCGACTATAGCTGCATACGAGGTGCGATTGGTCACATGCTCCCAACATTGCCTCTTGAATGCAAACTCGCTCACTGCTTTACTGGGAAGGCCTGGTTTGACCTCTTGGTTTGATGGCCACCTTAGAGAGGCCAAATTCGAATTTCTGGCTGATGAAACACAGCAGCACTTCAACATGCTGATAATAAAGTGAGAAACGCTGTCTAGATTAATAATTCCCCAAATGCTCTTCCAAGTGATTCATTTGTTTGACTTGCAGGAATACCGATACAACGCCAACAGCGCAATCTAAAAATCAAACAGTCGGAGGGAGCCGAGCCCCGCGTGAGTCACACGCCCAGGTTTATGTTACTTTCCTGCAAGTGAGCAGTGAATGGAAAACATCTATGCGTGAATGCGGGATGGGCTGTGTCAGCTGCTGGGACAGAAGAGGAAATAAATATGACAGAAAAAGGAAGAAGAAAAGAAACAGTACCAGTGTGTGTGGGAGCCTTGGCCTGCCTACTCTTCGTCCGGACTGCACTCTGAGGAGGCGTTCTTCCCACAGTCCCCTGCATCTCTGCTGCTGTGTAGTGAGGACAGAGAGAAAGCAGGTTTGATAGAAGAAATAGCACCTAAAGAAATTTTTTTTTTTTTTTAAACACAACGAAAAAAAAAACAAAAAAAAAAAACACCTTTTCCACCTGCTCCCTTCAGCTTGGTGGTTTCGGCACCACTTGCAAACAGCTTTTGGCTGCCTTTGGCTTGACCTCTGACCTTGCGCACAGGTGTGGTCTTCTCAGTAGTTGCATTTGGACACGTGTTCTCTTCTTCTCTTCTCTTTGTCCAGTCATTGCCTTCTTCTTCTTCTGCAGTTTGCTCTCTTTTCCTCTTGCCGTGGAGCTCTCGGGCTGCGGGTGGAGCAGCCGTGTCCTGAGATGCAGCACAATTGAAATAATGTCATTATCGCTATCTGCTTTCACCGACAGCAGCAACATTTCTTTGTGATATTATAAGACACAGTACATCCTTATCAGATTACCTTTGGAGTGTATTCCTTCACGGCCATGATGACTTCTGGTTTTGTTGACTAAAGAAAAAAAAGGGAGATTATATACATTAACCTGTGACATCTGTCCATATCTTAAAGTTTTAACTTAAGAAAATCCTAATGTTTTCATAAGCTCTTTAGATTTCCTTAGTATTTACCAGGTTTCCTCCCTCCAGAGAGACGTTCAGTGTCACACTGTCTATCCAGGTCTCCTCTTCCCACTGCTCCCATGACAAACATCTGAAGGTGAAATATGCATCATTCACAGAAAGGCTGTTAGAGTGCATTACAAAAAATAACAAAACGGATAAATAGGGCGAACCTACTTATTATAAGGAGTCAGTTTTCCAATAGTGATGGGCATCCGATCAGAATCGCTGAGCTCTGCGTTGACGCAGATCCGCTCCCCCCACCGGCCGCTGCTAAACAGCACCACCTGGCGGACGCTTGGTGGAACTGCAACACGGACCCTGCTAGAGCCTTCAGCGCTGACACGGCAAAACAAACGAAGAAACAAGCAAATAAAGGCACACTGCTCGATTTACATGCAGAAAAACGAGAGGCGAAAAGTATTTACTGTTTTAAAGAAAGAGAAGTTAAGCGACTGTGTGTAAACAGGTCTAATTCAAAGAGGCGCCAATGAGGAGCAATAAAAGTGTAGCGACAGAGCTGTTGAGCCCAGCAATTTTAGCTGAAGGCGACTGAGCTATTTAAAGACACATATGAGCGTCTCCCGGGTACAAACGAAAAACAAATACATGACATTATGTGCGAGTCGAAAGCCTGCGTTACCTCAGCAGCTTCTGAGGCGGCCCGTTTACTCCGAAAACCGCATAAACTCCGAAATCATCCATCCTCGCGAAGTCCTCCTGAAAAACACAAACAACATCCACCCGGTTCCGACTATACTCTTTTATTTAAAAGTACGATTTTAAATATCTCAATAAATCACTCTTTACCCAATCTCCCGCCACCGCTGTTTGTACAGTATCTGAACTCCGCGCGAGCTCTGGGGTCAGTTTAGGTGCGCGTGTTTTGTCATCACAGTTTCTAGTAGACGCTGAAGGCTACACAGCAAACCAGTTCTCCGCCCGCACGGCAAACGCGGATAAGAATTTCAAGCAGACTCAGGGCTGCAACTTTGGGGGCTCCAAGCCAATCGCAGGCCTGATTTCGGAGGCGCTGCGAGACGCAACAGAAGCTGCGTTCAATAACACCTTCAACAAAACGGTGAATTCTACTTTAATTAAGGCATTACTTTTATTACTAAGTTAATTCTATTTACTAATTAAGAAAACCTATCCGGTATTTAGAAATTAAAACAGCAAATTAATAATAGAAACATAGACTATACAAATTATATACAGTGGGTGTACATAAATTACAACCTTTATGGGACCAAGTGGTGTGCAGGAAGAGTGTTTGCAATGATGATGGACAGGCTGACAGATGATGAAGGAGGAGTCTTTGTGGACTCTAATGCTTGCAGATGACATTATAATCTGTATTGAGAGCATGGAGCAGGTGGAAGAGAGCCTTGGGAGGCTGAGGTATGCAGAAGAGGAATGAAAGTCAGTAGAAGCAAAACAGAATGTGTGTGTGAATGAGAGTGAGACAGCTGTAACAGTGGAGATGCAAGGAGCAGACATAGTGAAGGTGGATGATTTTACATACCTGCGGTCAACCATTCAAAGGAATCAACAGTGCACAAAAGAGGTGAAGAAGAAGTGCCGGCAGGGTGGAGATGAGTATCAGGGGTGATTTGTGACCGAAGGATAGCAGCAAGAGTGAAACTCAAGATGGTAGTGACCTTTGTGCTTTGGAGATGGTGGCTCTGACAAAAAGACAGGAAGCAAAGGTGGAGATGTTTTACTGGGAGTGAGGAGGATGGACAAAATTAGAAACATATACATCAGAGTAACGGCTAAGACTGAGTGGATTGGAGACAAAGTTAGAGAGGAAGGATGGTTTGGACATGTGCAGGGGCCGCGTATTTGACAACGAATGCTGAAGATTGAGCTTCTAGGCAGGAGGAAAAGAGGAAGACCTCGGAAGATCAATGGATGTAGTGAAGGAGGACAGAGGAGGATGCCAGGAATAGAGTGAGATGGAGATCTGCCACTGGGACCTCTAAATAAAGCAGCCAAACGAAGACGTTTATTGCATGCTGCTTATTTATTTATTTTAAACGAGACACTTTGATGCTGCAGATAAATAATTCACGCTCATATCACCAACACTTGTTTTATTTCAGTATCATAACATCCTGAAATAGTACATCTCAAATCGTTGATAAACTACTGCTGTTTGTTCTTGAACGTACCCCCACCAACAGCGCATGCTTTCGAAAAGCATTCTGGGATCCGATGCCGGTGGAAAGCTTCTCGAAAGAACTGCAAAGATGATGGTGAGTCAGCTAACATCATGCACCACACTCAACATCTAATCCATCTCCATCCTGTAGTTTATCAGAGAACATGGTCTCCCGGAGTGCGCCTGGTGTCGGTGACGGGCCGTTAGAAGTCTCGGAAAGCTCTTATTTTATGAAATAGCTTTTAAAAAGGTTATTATTTTTAGCCAGACAATGCTAGCATAGCCGCTATCAATGGGCGGATACGATGCTAACGGTGATGCTAAACGGCTTCCTATAAACTAGTGTTAAAATTTGAGCTAGCGTCGTGTAGTTACATATTTATCTACTTCACGTGGATTCGCTTTCAGCGTTTGAACATATTTGATTTTCATACCGCCCTCCACCTAGTTTGTGATGAGCTGAGCTGCTGTGTTTAGCCTCTTTGTACGGCTGAGGAGCTGCACCGGCTTGTGTGTTGTTCTGCTTTTAGCAGTAAAAATCTGAAAGCTAATGGCCCGGAAAATAATGCGAGCTGTACAAACCTACATGCATGCACTGACACCACTGACAAAAGCTATTGCTACAACGATGTCGTGTATAAATAACCTAGGCATTTGTACTTTGACACATTGTTCATCCTTATGAGTGCCTACAATGTGACATCAATCCTTCTGGCAATGTGGATGTACAATAGATGTTTGCGCATCGTCACTGTCACAGTGCTTTTGCAGGACTTTTTCCTCCTATTCTTGGATTTGTGTGATGTCAGTGTATATGTCTGTGTAGGTTCTCAGTCATCCGGGTCATGATCGTCTTAGGAGCTTAGAAAGGAGGCGAGTGGACTTCTTTAGGTTGGTTGAAGACATTTAGCCTCTTATCCAAGAGGCTTCTTCAGTTCTGAACTGAAAGTGAGAGGGGAAACATCACCAAATTTAAAGAAATCTGTTTGCCTGCTTTTTAAGCACCTGAGATCAGCATGCATGTACTTAAAATAGCACCAATGTGAGCAAATGAACCACAGCCACCTTCTATTTGTGAGGTACAGTCAGAAGAAATTTGAGGCTGAAGTGTGTTAAAATGGTTTGTTCCAGATAGTGGACAGACTGAGAGGCTTTGTTGCAAAGCTCCTGTAGCGGAGTCCAAAAACACTAACGTTGTGCTGGAAACGAGCAGAATGATGGGATTTCTGAGGTGCCCAGTCATGATGGATGCTGCTGACAGGTGTGAGCAGATTATCAGTTTGCTTACCCTCTCTTCTTGTCTTCCTGTGTCTCCCTCTCTACTTCAGCCCACACCGGTTATTCTGCTTAAGGAGGGGACGGACACATCTCAGGGTATTCCCCAGCTCATCAGCAACATCAATGCCTGCCAGGTCAGAACAATAACTCATCTCTTTGTAGTTCTGTGTCTATTTTTCATTTGCTCTGAATTTAACTAAACATTCTTGAATTCCTCTAAATGTGCTGCTCGTGTTTCCTTCTGCAGGTGATTTCTGAGGCTGTCAGGACCACCCTGGGGCCCAGAGGGATGGACAAACTGATGGTGGACAGCAGAGGTGAGATGGATGGGGGGAAAAGAAGGCGTTATTGTTCCTAGATTGGTCTGCGGCACAGTCGGTGTAATGCAAATGTTTATTTTTCCAGGAAAGGCCACAATCTCCAATGATGGAGCCACCATCCTGAAACTGCTGGATGTGGTTCACCCTGCGGCCAAAACTCTGGTGGACATTGCTCGCTCCCAGGACGCTGAGGTGAGCTGTTTGAGGCCATTCGTGCATCAGAGTTTATGCTGTCAGGAATTTCAGATTGACACCGTCTTTCTCCTCAGGTTGGGGACGGCACCACCTCCGTCACCCTCCTGGCTGCAGAGTTCCTGAAGCAGCTGAAGTCGTACGTGGAGGAGGGTCTCCACCCGCAGACCATCATCAGAGCGTTCCGCACCGCCACCAATCTCGCCGTCGGCAAGATAAAGGAGATCGCCGTCTCTGTGAAAAAAGACGATAAGCAGTGAGTTCTCTGTTTGACTTGAGCAACTTTTGATGTTTCTCCGGTGAGCAGTACAGCTGACGACCTCTTTTCTGCTTCACTGCGCCAGAGAGCAGAGGGAGCTGTTGGAGAAATGTGCGGCCACAGCTCTAAACTCCAAGCTGATCGCCGGTCAGAAGGAATTCTTCTCCAAAATGGTTGTGGATGCAGTCATGTCACTGGAGGAGCTCATGTCTCTGAAAATGATCGGTATCAAGAAGGTCCAGGGAGGAGCTCTGGAGGTTGGTGCCAGGAAGTGTGATTTTTCCTGTGTAAAATCTTTCAAAACAACAGTGTTAAAGAAGCAGATAATATATCATACATGGTCTTACCTCAGCATGTTGGTTTTTTAAATTGTTCAGGAGTCCCAGCTGGTCTCTGGCGTTGCGTTCAAGAAGACGTTCTCCTACGCCGGCTTTGAGATGCAGCCCAAACGCTACGAAAATCCAAAGATCGCTTTGCTCAATGTGGAGCTGGAACTGAAAGCCGAGAAGGACAACGCTGAAGTCCGTGTGAAATCTGTGGAGGTACGAATCAGCTGCCACAAAGCTGTTTGTGAAAGGGTTTTGTTTCCACGCTCCCTCTAACCTGAACCTTTGCTGCAGGACTACCAGGCCATCGTGGATGCAGAGTGGAACATCTTATACGACAAGCTGGAGAAGATCTACCAGTCAGGAGCCAAGGTGGTCCTGTCAAAGTTGCCCATCGGTGATGTGGCCACCCAGTTCTTCGCTGACAGAGACCTGTTCTGTGCTGGGCGGGTTCAGGAGGAAGACCTGAAGAGGACCATGATGGTGAGGCATTCACAAACTGTTAGTTTTTTGTTATGGATCAACCGGGACGCCAAAAATCCAAAATCAATCTTGGTAGTTGATTATTATGTTGAAAACTGCAGTTGGTCATTTAGCTTGAAGAATGACAGCTAGTTGGAGCCGACTTGGCTTTTAAAGTGCTGATGCTTGGACTGATTCTGAGGGTGAAAGCAGCTGACTGTGTAATGTAACCATTAGGCCTGCGGAGGCTCCATCCAGACGTCTGTAGGAGCGATGACCAACGATGTGCTGGGACAGTGTGAGCTCTTTGAAGAGGTCCAGGTCGGAGGAGAGAGGTGAGAGAGGCATCTATTGTGACCATACATAAGTGTAATGGCCAAACATATTATAATAATTATGCTACATTCAGTTTTGCATATTCTTCATCCCTCTGAGAGTTGTTTGTGGTGGGTTGCACTAGAGGTGACGAGATCAGCGGTGCTGTTATGAACCTCATCAAAACGGTTTCTTTCACTCCACCAGAGTTCACGTCTCAGTCACAGCTCCGCTTCTGTGCGTTGCAGCCCAGCACAAAAGCTCGAGAATAAAGCTGATATGGATGCATACTGGGCATCTCCTGGGTGAGGTAGATCCAGGACACGCTAAAAAGATTATATTGCTCAAATGGTCTGGGTGGGGTTAAAGAGGTCTGGACTCCTCTGCTAACACGTGTATTATAATTCTGCATACATGCACCTCCCTGAGAAATCTAACTACATGTTGGTCGGATGCAGTTTAGGGATAAAAGGAGTTTCCGGTTACTATGCAGGTTAAAGTCTAAATCAACGTTAGGCTGCTGCCCCCTCGACCCCGGCCCAAGAGAAGCAGAAGAGGATTGATGGATGGATGAGATTTTAGTCAGTGTGAGAAAAGACAAAACTGTCACTGCAATGGCAAAATTGGTAAAGCAGCAACTTTAAAGTGACAAATTTGTGTTTTGTTGTGTATTTTTTTCTGTGTAGGTACAATTTCTTTAAGGGCTGCCCGAAGGCAAAGACATGCACCATCATCCTGAGGGGCGGGGCTGAGCAGTTCACAGAGGAGACGGAGCGGTCGCTGCACGATGCCATCATGATCGTGCGCAGAGCCATCAAGGTCAGCTGCACAAGTTTTCAGATGCTGATTATTCCTGGTTGAGTTTAAAGAATCAGTCTCTGTTTTTATTTTGTGCACGTGGGAGGAAAAAACATTTGATTGTACTTAAAAGTGAGATTGTAATTGGATGATGATAAATTACATGCGTACTGGTTGCTTGACTTGAAACATGAGTAGAGCTTCAGCAATGCTTCATGAGGAGAAAGCAGCTTGTTTTTGAGTTGCTGTGACCCCGTCTCTGACTCTTGTTTCCTGTAAGTTTGGTTTATCTTTGCTCGCCACTGTCATTGGTATATTTTGATTTCCAGTGTCTTAACTGTATCAACCCTCTTCCTAGAATGACTCTGTTGTAGCGGGTGGAGGAGCCATAGAGATGGAGCTGTCCAAGTACCTGCGGGACTACTCGAGGACCATCCCCGGAAAACAGCAGCTCCTGATTGGAGCATACGCCAAGGCCCTGGAGATCATCCCCAGACAGCTGTGCGACAATGCCGGCTTCGACGCCACAAACATCCTGAACAAACTGCGGGCGAAACACGCACAGGTAGAAAACAAACAAACACACACACACCTTTTAATCCCTGGTAGTATTTAAAGTGAAGGTGACTTTGTGCGCTTCATCCGTCACCTGTCAGGGGGGCATGTGGTACGGTGTGGACATCAACAACGAGGACATCGCAGACAACTTTGTCGCCTGCGTGTGGGAGCCGTCCATAGTGCGGATCAACGCCCTGACGGCGGCGTCAGAAGCAGCTTGTCTCATCCTGTCGGTCGACGAGACGATCAAGAACCCCCGCAGTACTGCGGACGGACCTCCAGGTGGCGCCGGCAGGGGCAGAGGCCGCGGGAGACCCCATGCTCACTAACGACGCGAAACAGCAAAACCCCATTTTAAACAAGGACTAAATCCAAACGCCAGAAAGAATGTGTCTCCTGTAGCGATGCAGACAAAGATTTGACATGTTTTACCCACGTTTGGATTTTAATTTTGGATAAAATGAGGTGTTGTAAGCAGTCAGACACACGGCAGATGTTACGTTTAGTCAAACAGCAGGGAGAAGAAGAACGACGGCTGATGTTTCTTGTTTTTTTGGGGGTTTTTTTTTTTTGTCTGTAGGTTTTCTTACTAAAGCTTTCACACGGTAACATCCATTAAACATTTCAAGCACTGCATCTTTTCACACATTTTATGTTTTTTTTTACTGAGGAATGGTGAAGTGAAAGCAGACTGTCAGCAGCCCCCCTCTTTAGTAACACACTCCTGTGTCCTGTGATCTGAAGGAGTCGTTCCATAACTTCTAATTTGGTTTTGTGTTACGTGACAAACTGCTGTGTGACATGGAAAGTGAAGCACTGATGCAATGTCGAGCAGTTCTGAACCATTTGTTAGCCCCGCTGTGTGAAACTATTTATTGGAGCACTCTCATCAATAAATTCACAGCTGAAACCTGGACTGTTTGTTCTGACTAACGTCTGTCTCAGCACTCAGATCTTTAAAGAAGTGATCCAGACACAAGTGAAGTTCTGTGTTGTGTTCAACAGCGACGTGGATACAAATGCATCCCAGTTTAGACAACATATAAAAGATGCGGTCGGAATTATATTTATTCGTGTTAGGGTTATTACACAAATACACAAGAAGACAGTTACTGGTTTAAACATGAGGTCTGCGTGACCTTAGCTCCACACATATACCTGATTTTCTTTGTACAGGTACTCAGTACAAGGCTCCACTGATCAAATCTTGAGAATTATTAGATCTATAAAGTAACAATTACACAGTATTTATAAAAGATGGATGTCGCAACTATGATGTCAAGTACTTGGCAAAGTCATATTTTGTAACAACTCTGTAGTTGCCAGTTAGGCTTTCCACAGCTTTATCATCTCTTTCCTCCACAGTGGGGACCATCATTTACAACATACACATGTGCTGATTAAGACCTTTGACTTAGGTCTGAAGCTTATTAGACATAAGTTGTAACTGAGTGCATAGATCAGGTTAGCATTTTCTCATATATGTTGTACAAAACGACACACTCACTGCTTCATTAGTAACCAATGCTAGTACCGGGTTGGACCCCCTTTGACCTTCGTTCTTCGTGGCACAGATTCAACAAGATGCTGGAAACATTCCTCTGACATTTTGGTTTATGCTGACGTGACAGCATCACACAGTTACAACAGATTTGTTGTTGCAAATCTCCCATTCCACCACATCCCAAAGGCGCTCGACTGCACTGAGAAGTGTGGTGATTTGAGTTTGTGACATCGTGCCTTATCTGCTTGGACGCCAAATTCTGACGCTATCATTGAAACCTTGCAGCACAATTAAGAATGATCAAAGCATGCAACATTTTTCCAGTCTTGTCAGGTTTTGGTGAGCCCGTGTGAATTGCTGCTCGCTGGATGTTATCTAGTTTTCAGATCTTTATCTATAAACCCTAGAGATGGTTGTGTGTGACAATCCCAGTAGATAAGCAGTTTCTGAAATAGACTAGCACCTCTGGCACCAACAATCATTCTCCATTCAAGGTCACTTAAGTTGCCATTCGCTCCCATTCTGTTGCTCGGTTTGAACTTCAGCAGGTCATCATGACCATGTCTGCGTGCCTAAGTGTACCTAATGAAATGGCAGGAACGCAGGGTTAAGGAACTTCACAATAGATTTCAGTTTAAAGACATAAAGCTGCATCCATCTGCAGGTAGTGAGTGAGTTCTTATGTGCATGTGGTGCTTCATCTAGTGTTTCCAGTAGTAACGATGCATCTGTAGAGGGCTATTTCCTGCTGTGTACTGGATGAGAAAGTCCATATGTTAAAACAGGACATGTTAGCGACTAGCTGGTGGACATAGTGGGGCGTTTATCAGCTGATGAGCCAAATGTTTCCTGATGAATTATGAATTAAGCATTGGATTTAAATTAATAGTTTCCTCTCAAAATAAAAGCTCACAACTTTTAGAGGTCACGATAGGTTTATGAGCTTCGTCTTCAAATAGCGCAACTTCTGTTCAAAGTGGTTTGAAACATTTTAAATGTTATAAAGCCACAGTTCTTTTCTTATAGTATGTGTTTTGACGGATTCCAAGGCAGTGTTGTAGGTCAGTCTCTGCACCGCTAGGGGGAGTGCTTTCACATTAGAGAAACAAGGCTGCGGTCCAGTCGGTGACGTTTTATCTGCAGCGTTGCGTTGGTTTAAATAAGGCATTGTTTATTACACGAGGCCCAAAGGTAAAAGTCTGTATATTTAACGATTAACATGAGCGAGTTTCACTCATTAGGTAGCATATTGTGTTTCGTTAGAGTCACTGAGATAGTAAAGTCAGTTTGTGTCTCGCTCAGCTTTCATTCGTTTTCACAAAGTGTTTCTCTGACTGTTGGCGGGAAATGCTGCTGACGACATTATAAGGCGAGACATGGCGGACTTTGTCCCTCTTCAACTTCAAAGAGATTGAAGGACTTTGGTGTTTGTGAAGCGTGGATTCTCTCTTGATCTTCTTGCATCCTAAGTTGCTCCTAAGAATGCAGTGTTTTTCCAACAAAACATGTCGCCCACTCCCAAAGTACCGCTTTTTCTAAATTTATCATCCCTCCAATCAGCTAATGTGTGTTTTTGCATCCACGGCTCCACTTCCTGCTCCTCCTCAGTTAGACAGGAAGTCTATGGAAGCCCGGACGGAGCGGTTAGACATGACATCAACGGCCGTGACTTTAAGCTCCGTGTCGCCAAACTGCATGGTCGCTCTGATTTCCCTTCTCTCTGGGGTTCCTGCTCCTGCTCCTCCCACCGCACCCGGTGGCGGTAACGGTTCGGGCAGGTCTAAGGTTATTGTGCCACACTTCCTGACTCCAGGGTCACAGATGTATGTGACGTCATCGGTGGCGGTGCAGTAGATGTTGATGATGATCTTCCGTTGGCCCAGACGAGCAGGCGTGTAGCTTCGCCTCACAACCTCGCCCAGGGCCACCGACTGGTCGACGGAGACGAAGCGATCGAGGATGTCCGTGCACCACTCACGACCGTCTTTGATGAGGAGTTTATCCCGTGGGTGGCGTCCCTCCACAAACCTGTTCAGGACACCAACACCATAGGTCAAAGGGCAACGACGCACTCGGACCTGTGACAGAGAGCGAGAGAGAACGATCGTAAGATAATGTGTCACATTACTACTCCGATACTTTCCGGTATTCCCGAACTCTCACCACGGTGGGATCCAACCCGAAGAGCACAGCGCCCTTCAGTATCGTAAGACCAACGTCGTGAGGAATGATGATGCGGCACGTCCTCCCCAGTGCCTTCTGGACGGCTTTTTGCAACATAGGGGATTCTGCAAAACCACCAACTAGGAAGAGGAAACGCACACCACGCACTTCTGGTTTTATCATCAGCTCCTCTGTGAAGAAAGAAGATATAAAGCTTCTTAAGTAATTTGTCTTTCCATTGAGAGAATTTCTGCCTTTTCCAGCAGCTGTCCCCGGTGTTTCTTCATGTCAAACCCTTTGTTGACTCCCAGTTTTCTTTTAATGACCACCAAATATTCATACTGGGAAACCATTCCAATGGTTTTGAATGTACCACTGGCATGTGCTTGATTTGAAACAGACTGCATTTTTCTGGTTTTGTTCTCTTTTGAAAAGGTTGGAAAACATAAAAATGAAATCACAACCATCTTGAAAAGGGTCTCAAGGAAAGCCATTATGTTTTGATTGATTTGAGCTGTAATTTGTAGCTGTAGCAGCTTTTGTCCTTTTACATCTGAATAAGCACACTTCATGCTTTTGGCAGTCGATAATCTAGTAAGGTCAGGAGTTCAAGCAGTGTGCAAGAATCTAAGCAAACTCATGTCCCATCTTTAGTCCATGTAATCCGTTTTTTTTTGTTATGTTTTTGTTTTGTGTTTTGGAAAAATCTGCATTAAAAAGTCACCAAATATTGGTCCTAAAAAAGACTATAACCTAACCAGGCTTTACGAATGATGGAAAATACATGGTCACAACTTGGTATAAAAATAGTGCAGCTAATTTCCTTCTGCATGACAACTGCATTTCATTACTGGGCCCCTAATAGAGCTGCTAGGATTCTGTTTAAATTTGTTTTTTTGTTTTTTTCAAAAGGTGGTGATTTAGTTTTGATGAGTTAAATTCTATTATTTCGTTAGTCAGTTACCTAGCACTAATTAGCTGAAATCTATTGCGCATGATTAACCCGTTATGCGCACTCACAGACAATAAATTGATGGACGTAGCTTCTGCGAAGCCAAAGCATCAGTGCGTGAAACCTACATTCCTTTCAACGGCCACCAGATGGCGATAGCTGTGATTACAAAAAGACTTCCTGTCTACGCGGAAAAAGCTCTCTGATTTGACACAGATAAACACTTCCCACATGCGTTTGTCACTTGTTTCGAATAAGATATTAATGTCGTTTGATTTCAGAAATGAGGATCATCCAGGTTAGGCTATTTGCAAGCAGTTTTACGCTCAGACACGCCCTCTCTCACATCCAGTTTCAACACAAAGATGGCAGAAATTCATCTCGCTCCAGGCTTCAAAATGGGATTAATGGGTGACTTCATGGTAGCTGCGTCTATTTTTTATGTTTTTAATGTGTGCACTTGAATTTTGCCACTGCTAACAAGCAACTCTACCCTGTTGTTGAAACACGGTCACTTCTGGTTCCAAAAAACCCTTAAAAATGTCGATAATTTCAAGGGCCTATTCTGCACAGGTTCATCTTGACGCCCGAGCACGGCGTTCGTTGAGCTTGAATACTAGTTTTATCTCGGAAAGCCTTTGCACTGGCTTTCTCCTGGGGTTGTTTTTCAGGTTTCTCCTAGTAGATTTACTGCAAAGTTAAACAGAAGAGTTATGTGAAAGTACACAAAACATAAGTGGGGAGTGGAAGGAAAAGGAAGTTTTTAAGTGCCCGGGTCTTTTATGTCAATCAGTACATTTTTGTGTATAGCATGTGCGCAGCAGCCCCCTTCTCTGGACATTTGTCTTTCTTACCAATGTGCTTCACAATCTTGCTGATGGTGGGCTGGAAGAGCTCATTCATGGCTTCCTGTGTCAGCCGCAGCATCCCCTGGGAGGACCACTTCACTATATTCATACTGCACACACAGAAGGAAGTAAAAAATCAGTCTGTCATCTAAAGTTGCACGTACGCTCGTTGTTCACTCATCGCACCTCTCAGCCCACACTCACTTGCTCCTTCTCAGGGCAGCCTCCACACTCTGCCCTCTGTGCCTCTTGTAGTAGTCGATGAAAGAGAAAGGCAGGGAGATGTTGAGGGCGTTGGTCCTGCCCGGAGACGCTGTGCGTTTCCTCGCCTCAAACGCGATCATGAGGTCCACCCAGGCCGCTGGCCGCTTGGCTTTAAAGCTCTGGATGAAGTCCTCGCCAAAGATCTGGCACAGCATGGCTTCGAAGGCCAGGTCGACTCCGACGGCGCCGTAGGGACCGCCTGGCGGAAACACCGCAGCTATAGAAACTGTAGGAAATGTGTTTGCTTTTTTTGTCCTTTGTAAAAGGATGTACCTGAGGCCTTGTAGAGCTCTTTAAGAGTTCCCTGTGGCTGCTCAATCTGATGGACTGTCAGGTCAACTGTTCCTCCTCCGCAGTCTGCAACCACATATCTATCACCTGAACAGAGAGGGCACGGATGAACACATGCTGTTGTTTTGTTTGCATCCTAAGAACATTTTTTGCTTTTTCATACCTCATATTTCAGATTTTTTAAAGAAAAAAACACATATCAAGCACATCAAGCTTGTAGGAGGAAATCATGGAAGATAACGTGTCTTCATTTTTGTGGACGATGCAAAAATGCGTGTGTGTATATTTGGTTTGTCTGCAGCTTCCCCAGAAACTCTTGAACACGCAGTGTTTTGAATGTAAACAACCTTGAGGCATCTGTGGTTGCTGCTCTTCCCCTGCTAGAGTGTATGTTTGTGATATGTCCGGTGATAAGGGTTAGTTTTCGTGTAGCTACCCTGACGACTGCACCCTAAACACGAGAGCTCATGAGACGTGTAGAAGCGAGTGAGGAAGAGAAAAGAAGGCGTGTGGTGGAAATGAACAGAAATAAAAATATAAGACAAGAGGAGGAATCAAAGGATGTTTGCAAGGCAGGAAGATAAGAGAGTCTCTTCTTCTTGCAGAGAGTCCCATGGGCTGGGTCCTTCCTGTGTGTGTGTGTGTGTGTTGACAGGGATGAGCGCACTAAGGGTCAGCAGGCGCACGTGGCTCCACAAAATGCAGTCATGCCTCAACAACAGAGTGAACAACTTTCATTTCATAACCCAGGAAAATGCAAAGTATGCAAAGTAATTGTTAATTTTCCATCATACATATTTACAGTAAAACAAACAAAAAAAAAGATCTTATTATTAAAACACATCAGGAAGCCATAATTAGATTATTTAAATCAGTTCAAATAGAACCTGCAAACATCAGGTTTGGGGTTTGTCCTCTATTAAAGTGGGCGGGTTTGTTCCTCAGAGTCTGCAGGCTGGGGTTAAAGGTCAAAGTCATCCATATCTCCCACATGTGGGGTCTGCCTGTCTCTTAGGCTCACATACGCACAGATGGCCTTACCAGTCTGCAGCTCTGACCACAGCTCTCCAGTTCCACTCTCCACCAGGAAGGTCCTGCTGTGTCTAGATCGCCTCAGCTGCTCCCTTGCTGTAACAGAACACACGCACAGAATGATTTATTTATTTATCTACTGTTTCTTTGCTATTCAGAGGCACGAGCCGGAACCTCTTCTGTCTTTCTGTGAGTCGAAAAAAAAAAAAGTTGAGCATTGAGGTGAAAGTGATGCTTCTGATTACTAATTTTGGGAGAAAAACATGGAATCAAAGGGGAATTCTCGAAAACAGTTCATCATCTTCTCTGTCAAACACTGTTATCAGCTGTTTCCACAGCAGGTAGCTCTGCATGTTTGATTTGGCAGTTTTTTCACAGGATGCCCTGCAGATGCAACCCCAAGGGGAGTTTGTGTTACCAGCTGGAATCAAGCCAGAGACCTTTCACCTGCCAAGTGTTATCCATTACACCTTTGGAGGCGCTTGATCAGGTTAAAATCAGTAACATGAACATATTTATAGGCTGGTACAAAAACCAGTTTTGGTCTTTATGGTTAATTTAGCACTTTAGCCACTCTGAATGATGAGCAGCTGCCCCCGATCTTTGCTAATTTATGGCTTTTTGGACCATTTTAATATAAATGAAATATCTAACAAAATTAATGGCCTGCTGTGTGGCATTGATCACCCATGACTTTTGCACTTGAGCTTGGTTGATGAAATCCCAGCTTTTTCTTAGTGTGTTACTGAGCACTAATTAGCAAGTATCTCCATCTGTACATTTTCACATTTCGTGGATACAGCGTACTAACCAGGCTTGTTAGCCTAAACTGATAATTAAGCCCTCCACCCATCTGCTAACCTAAATATGTGACCCAGCAGTAGAAGAGCAGACCATGAACACACTAGAATCCCAGCTGTGCACAGAAACAGTATGCATCTCATCCTGTGCCATATAGGAGGCACTCAACGGCCTCCACAGTCACCAGATCTTAATCCAGTAGATGTGGTTAAAAAAGAGATTTGGATCATGGATGTGCAGCTGACAAATCTGGTGTCTGTTAGTAGGTCTGCCTCCTGAATTCTCCATTAGCCCTGCAGTCCAGTAATTTGACCGTCATTTATATGATCTGGAATAAAGAACTTATGATAAATATAACTGTTTGCCTCCAAGTGACCAAATAACTAATTGCAAGATTAATGCACTTAAAAAAAAGAAGGAATTTCTCTGGACTCTCTCCAGCTGCGAGCCCATAGAGTCATCACCACCGTTCACCACCATGCACCGCCTCGCCTGGATTCAAACAGTCTTTATCTCTCTGTATAAACACACTTGGTGCACGGTCAGACACTTAAGTTTGCTTCTGACTACTACTCCTCAATGCAAAGAGGTTCGAGCCAAAGCACAATCTTCCTCAACTTCAACCGGAGAGATAAATGTTTGTAATTTATGCTACATATGAGAGTTTATGGCATTTGTGCAGGACGAAGCATAAATCATCCGATCCAAGTTAAACAAGAAAACCGTACGGTCATAATATTTTTATGTGACAGGAGCAATTTGTTGGAAATGAAGAATGCGCTCGAATTTCAACATTCTGTTTGTTCTCCACGTGTAAACTGTGAGAGTGGCGGGCTAAGTGGACGGATGGGGGAGGCCAACAAAAACACAGCAGGCTCACATGCAGCTGGCAAAAATACAGCATACCTGACAGGCTGTTTGACAGAGCAGATACACTATATATGCCTGCACACGTCAAGGTGAACACATGAAAGGAGACATAATGGTTCTGAGAACCAAATAGTTACAAATTAATGGAAAACTAGATGAGAAAGTTAAAATGTAAAAAATATATATATAGCACTAGTCATTTGGTAAACTGTGAGCCTGATGAAAGGCAAGCGTAAACATGTGTGTCATAGGCAGCGAGCACGGCTTTTGATGGAGGTTAGTGCTGGTGAAAGTGGTTTTTACATGGTTTTCTCAAACCGCATGAACACCACACACCACAATAATTAGAGTAATGGACGGGGGTTTGTGGGGGAATAAGAACAAAGGTTGGAGACTTATTGGGCAACACTGTGTCGAAAGCAAATATACACATACTGTTGTTTAAGGACCTTGGATGACACAGAAGGTAATGTATGTACCTCTGTGTGTGTGTGTGTGTTTGTGTGTGGTCGCACATAGTAAATAAGCTGAACGAAGAAAAGCACAATCACACAGGCCTTGATTTCGCCGGTGCCTGCGTGTATGTTTTACAGGGGTGATGGATGGAACGCAAGTCTGGAAACCATTTACATAAAACAGCAGAAAAAGAAAATGTGTGTGCGTTAACGACTCCCCGATGCTATCTTTGGAGATGAAATGAGGTGGAAGACGCGCTAAAGATAGTAAAAAAACACGACCGGGAGACCAAGTGTGTGTGTGTAAATACGTCTGTTTGCTCGAGTCCTCGGAAAGCGAGCGAAAAAGCGAAAGAGGTAGAGAAAGTCTGGGAGAATAAAGGGAAAAATGAAAGTGAGTGAAGGAGGGGGAGACTGACAGGCCAGGAGGGGGTGAGATCATAGTCTCGCTGCACCTTGTTCCAATTACAATATCCTGTGTTTAGTGTGTGTGAATGTGTGTGTGTGTGTGTCACTGACTGCATATGTATAAGTGGGCCTTTGCAGGGGATTTTGGTCAGCATATGCGCCCACTGAATTATGCATCACTCTTCTTTCTCCCCAGCTTGAAATGACTTTTCTTCATTGCTACATCTTCGTGGTATTTCCTTCATGTGGGCATGAAGGACACGCTCTTCTGTTTTGGAAGTTTTTTGTTGCATTTTGGCTTTTTGTTAAAGTTCTCACTTGTGTACTGGTTCTGGAGGTACTTTCCCGACTGTAAATCCCCATATTTGAATTTTCTTTTAAAGCTGCGCTCTGATCCAGATTTCTATAGCAACAGCGGCTCACATTACTATGTGTCATGTGAATGAAGTAATTTGTAGGCATACACTCACCGAGAAATGTTGCCTGAATTTATTTTCATTTCATTTGGCAAACTTTTGGGTCATAGCTTTGGATTTTCATGAATAAAACATGACTAAGTATTGATCTACTTAGTGTATCTATTGGCAACTACACTACAAACCCCCAAAATTGGTAGAACCAAAAAAAGGAACCAGATTTCCTTAATTTGTTTAAGCCGGTGACGTTTTTTCATCTTTTAATCTTTTAATTAAATTCCAAATGTAGTACATCACTTAGACAAATCAAAGTAATTATTAGTGACTTAACATATTCAGTTAATAGGACTTACTTACTAAGAGTTAAATGAGATCATTAATTATATGGTATGTTCGATGGAGAGTGACCTTTTTCTTCTAATGAACCCATGCTTACTAAGCCACAGGCCTCAGTGATGCCTTTGACATTGATGGCCATCCATACGTGACTCAGATGCAGCCCTAAAATGGTTCAAATGATCTCTTATACCAAGAAACCTTGCTGTCTTTGTTCAAGGCTTTATGTCTTTGAGTCCCACCAAGCTTGGTTCTTGGGCCCCTGTTATTCATTTGTCTCACATCTCTGGGACAGATTATTGAAAGTTTTAAAACAAGCTCAATTGTTACTTATTTGCTGATGATAGCCAGCTTTATTTCTCAAACCACATGAGGTCTGTAAGGTTATCAATGCTTATGCCAAAAATGCTAGCAGGGATTAGTAAAAATGGTAAAACTCTGCAGCTTGATGCTGATTTTGGTTCTGGTTGTCGTCCTCGTCATCAAGAATAATCTGGACTGTTGGCCTTTGCTGTTAATGTCAGTATGTGTAATTTAGAGGTTATCCTTGATCAACCCCTGTCCATGTTAAACAAATGTTTCCACCAGGGAAATATTTCACCGCTCCCTGTATTGACGTGTAATTTTCTGGTTTTTAATTTAGTAAATGTTTAACAGTATCACCCCACTATAATGTCCCTTCACTGGCCTCTTTTAACATCTATGATCCAGTTAAAAATCCTCTCCCTTGCTTACAGATCATTGTAAGGTCACGCTACCTTGCATGTCGTCGTGCTTCTTTAACTTTAGTGTTCAGCCAGCTCATTCAGGTCAAACAATCTGAAATGACTGTTTGCGCCATGTTATGATCTAAGGACATGCAATGATAGATCCTTTGAGGCTTTGCGCTGCTCTTAGCCATGTTTAAATAATTACAATTTTGTTATATATTATTTTTTGTCTTTTTTAAATTTGTTTTTCAAATGTTCTTTTGTATTTTGTGTCATTTACCTGCTTTTTCTATTAGCTTAGATTATATTCTACAAAGCACTTGGTGAATCCTGTCCGTTAAAAACACTAATCTTAAGTATTTCTTCCTTGTGTATTTTAAAATTGTTATTTTTAACATGGACACACTGCACACTCCTGTTACTGACATTCAATAAACCAGTTACATGCTTCACTCATATTGTTACAGCATCACTGTTCTGACATTTTTCCTTCCCTCAGCCCCAACCAGCCATTGCAGATGGCTACTTCTTCTTGAACCTGGTTCTGCCCTCAGTTTCTTCCTGTTAAAAGGGAGTTTTTCCTTCCCACTTTTGCCAAGAGCCTGCTCATAGGGAGTCATCTGATTTATTCTCTGTATTATTGTAGGGCCTTAACAATATCTTACAATATAAAGCTCCTGTTTTTTTGTCAGTTGGCACTAACTGTAGCAGCCTTTAAGTACTATTTGAGTTCTATTTTCATTTAAAAAGTGTAAAATGGAGTAGAAATTCCAGCTTGTTCCTTTTTAAGAGTTTCATGTGATTTCTTATGAAATGTTAAGTGCTTGTGATCTACTGCCACAAACTTAACTAAACACTAAACACTTCTAAGGAAAAGCTTTTCTGGCACTGCGTAAAGTTAATTAAAGAGCTGATGTGTTAAATAGTTCCTTGCATCCTCTTCATTGGATTTCTGTGGTCTGTTTCCGATCAGACCCTATGGTCTATCCAAACACTTCATCGCACACACAACTGCAAAGTCATCTGAGCCATGAGTAGTATCTGTATTCAGATCACTGTGCTTAGTGCGCTCTCTTTCTTTGTCTTTGACAGAGGCGCATTTAGCCTTTGAAAAAAAGACCCCACAACCCCCAAGTGAAATCAAAAAGCAGCATTTCCAGGAACACAGTGCGGTTTCACGCTCATGCTAATGGCAAAGTCAACAACAAGACCCCTGCTCAACAGAAATTACATGCACACATGCTCTCTGTTCTCTACCTTGTCTGAAGCTGGAATCAAAGGGCCGCGAGACATCCAATTCCAGGCCGTTTGTGATTGGCTGCATGCTCAGGTCAATCACCTGGTGGAGGCGGAGCTTTCGACAATAAATGGATGCAGCCTCGGGTTCAAGAGCAATGAGGAGCTGCTCAGGACAGTCAAGAGACACCAGACCAGCCTATAAAGGACACAGCAGAAGCTTTACCCATATTGTTGACTGACAGGCAACACTTTTTAGTACCTGGATGAAAATTCACCTTCAGCTGTTGCTTGTTTGTGAATCTTTGCGTCCTCAGTTTTGTTTTAGTAAGTGATTTAATAACTGTAGGTTAAGGATCAGGTGGTTGACTTGGTCTTTCTCTGGTATTATCCATTTGCACTGTGAAGTGTTGTATGAGTAGTTTTACAGCATTTGGCTGAATTCACCCTGATACTTCTTTTAGCAGTCACAACATCATTGAAGACTGATTCCACTGGCAGCATTAGATGCCCGTCCTGTAACATTGTCTCCACTATATGATGTGGTATGCTTCACATCAAGAGCTGTTCTTTTACGTCTCCATACGTTTTTCTTCCCATCTTTCTTTGTTTCATTGTCCAAAGGATCCCCCTCTTTTACAATATTTCTGGCAAATTTTAATTTGGCCTTTAAGTTCTTTAGTGTAACCAGTGGTTTGCACCTTGTATTTACATCCATGAACATATCTCTTGATCCTAGTTTTGCACATAGCACTTTGCTTTCAGACTTCTGGCCTGCTTGTGGTTCCTAGAGTAGAATGGGAGGCATAGTCTTCAGCTTTCAGCTTCCCAGCTTGGATTTGGGAGACAGTTTTAAGATTAGGCTTAAAACTTTCCTTTTTGATAAAGCGTATAGTTAGGGCTGGATCAGGTGACCCTGAATCCTCCCTTAATTTTGCTGCAATAGGTCTGGCAAGTTGCTGGGAGCTTCCTGTGATACACTGAATGTTTTTTCTTCACTCACCTTTTTTCACTCTCTATGTGTTTACACACCACTGTGCATTTTAATCCTTAGCTATTATTAATCTCTGGCTGTCTTCCACAGAGTGTCTTCTATCCTGTCATCCTCCCCTCACCCCCAACCAGCCGCAGCAGATGGCTGCCCGTTGCCGAGCCTGGTTCTGGAGGAGGTATTGTCTGCTAAAAGCAAGTTCATTCACTATTTCCCTAATATTTTGATCAAGAAAACTAGAATATGAAATCATGAATGTATTATGAATTTTAAAAATATAGCTAATGTAGGGAGAAAAAGAAAAATATTATAAAGTGAAATATTATAAAGTGAATGCATGAATGCATGAATGCATATTGTAATAATAGAGATAATTAAAGGAGCCATTCATATATTTATAACTCAAATGTCAATGTTATTTAACACACACACACACACACACACACACACACACACACACACACACACACACACACACACTGAATTACAGTGGATACAAATAAATAGAAACAAACACACATGGTGAATGACAGCAATGGGAGCAAATTCACTGACAGTTGGGATAAAACGCTGAATAGAGTAGGAGAGGTGTATAAGCATAACTCATGATATATTGGGGGTAAAGTTGAGTGTCAATGTGTGTGTGTGTGTGTGTGTGCGTGCAGGGCGGGGGTCTAGTTTAAACTTCCTGTGTTTGTACGCCGGTCTCCCTCATTGTTTAGTCATGATGACATCATCACCAGCAGGAAGTGCACACGCCCCAAGAATCAAGCCAGGAGCCAGCTCAGGGTAAGTGTGTGTGTGTGTGTGTGTGTATGTATCAGTGTTAATATCAAAAAGTGTATGGATTCGACTATTCATGTCTGTACTAAAGTGACTAAATGGTAGATGGCAGATAAAAGTAAATAAATAATCACAGTGTTTGTTGCGTGTCATGATCCTGGGTCCTTTTGACCCAGCGTTTTGTGTTTTCTCTTCGATTTTGGTTCTGTTCTTCCTCTGGTTAGTGTTTACTCTGTTCTGCCCGTGTGTTCTGGTATCCAGTCCGCGTTTCTTAGTTTGTGTCCTTTCATGTGCAAGTTCCTGTTTTATTGTGAAGGTCGGCGTCTTATGTGAGTGTTTTCAGTTTGCCTCCCTAGTCTCGTCATGTTTATCACTCCCAGCTGTGTCTCCCACCTGTGTGTAATCTCCCTGTGTTCTGAGTGTATTTAAGTTGTATTTTCTGTCTTAGTAATTGCTGGTTCGTCTGTGTTGTTTCCCCTCGGTCTCCCTGCGTCTCTCCGTATGTATTTCCCCGGACCTCTGCATCTTCGTTTCTGGTTTGTTTTTGTTAGTTTTACCCAGTTTAGGTTTTCCTGTTTCACCTTCACCCACGCCATTGCTGTTTGTATTTTCTTTTGTTAATAAACACTCACCTGCTCCAGAGCTGCTGCCCTTTGGGTCCTTTTCTACATTCCACACGGCTTGCCCCGGCAATCCGTGACATTGCGTCAGTAAAGAAAGGGTGGCATTAAGAGTAAAAGGTTGTTGAGTCTTTCCCAGGCTGGTCCTTTCCCATTGATTTATACTGGGATAGGACCTCTTGCATTCTTGGGCTTGTACGTACACTTCCTACATCTTCTATGTACAGTTCATAGAGGACGGTGTGTGCATGGGTGGGAAGATGTGCAAAGAGGAAAAGAGCAGTGTGCATGTGCGTGTGTGTGTGTGTGTGTGTGTGTGCGTGCGTGTGTGTGCGTGTGTGTGTGTGTGTGAAAGAGATTGTAAATAATCCTCTGTGAGAACATCAGTCCTTATCTCATGCTTTATTCACTATCTTTCTTTCCACTGGCCCGTTGTTCTTCCTATTCTTCCGATTCTCACACACACACACACACACACACACACACACTCCACAGTGATTCCCTGTGTATCCACATGTGCACAACACCGTGATACACTGTAAAAAATAAAAATAATTTTTAAAAATCAACAAAACAACAATGTGTTTTCATACCAGGTATGCTGCTTCTCTCATGAACTGTTTGGCAGGTTGTCTCCACACAGCAGGAACAGTAATCACCCATCTGATCTCATCTCCCTCCAGCACTGATGAAGACTGGTCTTTCACCTCCTAAAACAGGAGCCCCCACCCCCCCCACAAAAAAATCATTTTCTTCTTGTACTCTGAAGTGAACCACACAGAGTGAAGTGATCTCCCAAGGGGTTTCATTTAAAAGTGCTAAACAAAGGTACACCAAATACACATTCACGTCCTATCCTAGAATATGAGAAAGTATTCAGTGTACTGCAGTGGTGAATGAAGTGATCTGAGGTGTACCTTCAGCGCGTGTTCCCTGAAGAAGCGAAGGGCATGAGCAAACACGTCTATGGCCCTGACCTTTTGACCGTTCACCGCCTCCAGTTCCGTCTCCATAGTGAGGTCCTGCAGCAAACACAATCACAACTGCTGAAAAAAACAAAACGCCGCACCAGGAAGTCTGCAGCACCAGTTAAAGCTTGTTACTTTCAACCACAGTTTTACTTCTCAGCTGTGGGCAGTGATATAAAAATCTCCCACTCTTGCACATGTCAGTGCACCATAATGTCCTTTAACACCGGGTACGAGATGTCACTATTTTCACATCTGTTTCTTACACTTGTGCTGTGGATCCTCATTTTGAATTTGTCAAAGTAAAGCCAGTGCCGGGCCTCTTCTGGATCCAAGTCATGGTAGAAGTCTCGAGCGGCAAACCCAAAACTGTGGAACCGCAAATCTGGAGTGAGCAGCAGACACGTTGGGCTCTTCTGGTTGGCCACTCCAGGGTCGCCACCCTCCCACCGCCTGCATTTAGTGAAGAACCACTGTCAAAACTTCAAAATAAAAATACAGAGTATATAATTGATGAGAATACACACAGGCTCTTACTTCATCATGTGTATGGCTTCCGAGTCCTGTGTGAAGCTGAAAGCGTAGCCGCTGGAGGTCGTCCCAAAGTCTATAGCTATGACAACGGAGAATGGACAAGCCATCCGGGGCCTGACCTCCACCCTCTTAGAGAGCGATGAGAGACAGAGAGGTAAGAATGGATACGGTTTCTATCAGTAAACCTGGTGGTGTTTTTAAACTGACATTGCTAACATTAGTGGACAGAGTCAGAACAGAATTAATAAGCAGGCTTAGAAATCAGAAGCTATTTTTGATGGACCTCTACTTGCATACATTGGCGCCAAGTTGGTGTGTTTCTTTGCCACTAATTTCAGTCTCTCCGTAAGTTTTATACTGTAAGATAAATGTTATGGTAAACCACTAAGAGCAGTTAGAAGTGGATGTGGCATTGCAGGCCTCGTTTAAGGACTTTATATAAAGTTAAATGAGTAGTAAGAGAGGAATGAGTGTGTAGGAGTGCCTGTGGTGAGTGGCCGTGTGTGTGCGTGTGTGTGTGCAGTAGCTACCGGTGAGGGTGAGGGTGTGAGGGGAGTGATGCTGCAGTCATTTCTGGCTGTGGCAGGCGAAGATGGAGTGGATACGTTTTCACCTGGAAGACAAGGGAGGAGATGAAATGTGTGAATATGCAGTGGTGCTAACAGGGGATGTGGCTAATGAGGGAAGTGAAGGTGAATCCCCTCTCAAATATGAAAGTTTCTTTAAGTCTTAATATTGGAAAAGCACCACATGCACTCCCTGAGAACAAACATAAAGGTCATCCTGTCTGTTTAAGGAGATATGCAGTTATGGGAACACTATTATCATAAGAAAGGAGGTGGTTCTGAACTGTCCTCAGCTACTGATACTAACATGCTGAAAGTGTATTTGCTGAGTAACTGCAGAAAACACCTCATTTTTCACCGTGGATGTTAGAAGATTAGGTCAAATGTAAACACACTTGACCTCTCTAGATCAAAAAGTGATAATCGTAATGAAATGGAATCGTGGGAATGCCACTGGAATCTGAAGTGCGTAGTATACCCAAGTGGGAGAGGGACATGGAAAGGTCAGCATGTCCACGGTCCAACAGATAAAGAAGGAGAAGTCATCTGGACAGGACTGCAATAGCAAACTAGTGTTGATGTGTGTGTGCGTGCGTGTCAGTGTTTGAGTGTGTATCTCACTTGGTATCTGCAGGCTGTTGGAGTCTGGCTGCAATACGTCAGCCATCTTTACAGGAGCCAGGGTCTGCAGAGAAACAAACCGATGATAACATGATGAATGGAAAACGATGTCTGTGGAAAACACTGCTGTAATACATATTATCACCTATTTGACTCTTAACACAAAGAAAAAGGACTTTACCCAAGTTTCATGATATATTTATAGGATACATTAGCTTTTTTTAAAGCAAGTCTTATCTGGCAGGCGCACTGGCAACACTGTTGCCTCAGAAAAAGAAGAAGGTCCTGGATTTGAGTACACTGGGCAGCAGAGATCTTTGTGTGGGGGGTTTGCATACTTCCCCTGTGCCAGCGTGGGTTCTCGCCTCCCACAGTCCAAACATATAAATGTTTGGTTATTTTGTGATTCCAAATTAGTTGCAGAGTGAGGTTGCTGAGTGCTGAGCCGCGTAGTGCGTAAAAGTCCGTTCCAAACCTCCTCTTGCACAAAAACTGTGCAGCAGACATGGGTTTAGACAGCATAGCAGCTCCTGTACTTTTGTCCATGTAGTTTATCATCTGCTGCAGATACAATGATTAAAACCTGACCTTTTTATTCACATGTTTCAACATAACAGCACACGGATATCATGGCTCCATCAATTCACTAGCAGGTGCACTTTTATGGCCTTCAGGGATACTTTTGGAAGTCATTGTCAGGATTATTATTAGTAATAACACTCCTGATCTTTGTGCCATCACAAAAACCAACGTGCCAGAGTCAAAGCATCACATTACAAGGTCTGTTCACCAAACAGCATGACGCAGACACTTCTTTGGAAGGCGCTACGTGCTGCATAAACATGTTGGAAAAATAGATATAGGAAGAAAATGGGGAGTTGTTTTGGACGAAGAAAAGTGACATTAATCAGCGAAGGAGGGGAGGTGAACAAAGCACACGCAAACCATCATTCACAGCTAACATCAGCATCAAACTTAAAGCTGTTAGAGCTGCACAGCAAAGATTATAACATGATATAAGTAAATGAGAGTTGATTAAAATAGTAAGATATGTTGTTATTATGTTGTTGCTGGAGTATATCTGCTCCATGCTCTGTACATATGCTGCATCTGCTGAACTGACTTATTTCTCCTAAAAAAAGCAAGTACTGTATGTGTGTGTGTGTGTGTGTGTTTTTTCCTATGGCCAGTGTGTGTGTGTGTCTCTATGTGTGTCTATGTGTGTATGTGTGTATGAGTATTGATTACAGCTCTGGGATTATACTGTGATCTGAGCCAGGAGTAAACTAAACAGATGAGTGCAATGAAACAAAGATGTGTTTGTTTAAATCTCTTTCTTGTGAGTGTGTGTGCGTAAGAGAGAGAGAGAGAGAGAGAGAGAATAAAGCAACCATAAGTTATCTTGACATCCTTTCTTTGCATACATGCATGCAACATCTGCGCGCATTTATCCGAGCCTGTGCCTGGGACACTGGAATATAATGTGTGTGTGCATCGCTCGCTTCCTTTCCCAGCAGCTGTCCTCACTATTTGATGTTAAAAACAGAAAGAGGATGAAACTCCCCAGCTACTCCCTGCCTTTTCGTTTTGCATATACCTGCCCCCTAAGTAATGTCATTCTTTTTCTCTCTGTCGTCTCATCATCTCCTAAGCCTAATGTGCGGTGGATGCTTCACACCCACCCGAGTCCCAGCCGTGGATCAGCAGAACATGCAACTAAAACTCCTGAGTGACAGATTTTGCAAAACGCTCCACTTTTGTGCACCATTAACAATAAGCTCTATCAGTTTCTAGACTGCACAAACAGGATTTTGCCATCTTAGACAAAAGTTTTTTAGCTCGGAATAGAAGGATTATTGCATTCCTCTTCAGAGAGTAACCAACCTCATTATGCCAACAAGAGCTGGACTCCACAAAAAAGCCTGATCTTTTAAGTTAACTCACCCTTTAAGTGCTGCTTTCTCCTCTGTGCCCCCTGTTGTTTCAGCCGCTCCTGGCTGCAGCACAAAAATATTCCCAAACTCTGGAACTTGGCAAACTTGGAATCTATCTCCAGGGGTTTGCGATGGAGAGAAAAAGGGAAGAGGAGGAAACGAGAGGATGCTTTTCTAGGGATCCTGTGTTAAGAATGCAAGACTTCTTCCCAGCTGACTTGCAGGCAGATTCTCTGAAAGAATCGGAAGAAAACAATGGCTTGTGCAAGAAAAATGACAGGAAAACAAAGAAAATCCTTAGTTGCTTTCAAATGGATTTCTGTATTGGGTTTGCAGCTCAGCCTCTCTGCAGCTCAGCTCACCGTCTCCCTGCTCTGCACAGGAATGTCAGAGAAAAGTGGTGACACACACACACATGCAAACACAGACACGCATACACCAGTTGCAGAAGTAGGAGGGCTATGACAGGGCACGGTGGGGGATTTACCCCAATGGGAAATTGCCGTTTGCGTTGGCAACTGAGGGTGGAGTCGTTTTGAACAGTTAAGTCATCTCGCCCTCTCGCCTCCCACCCGCTCCTCCACATCTATCCTTCCACAGTTTAATTAGCTCTTCCTGTCTCCCTTTTTGCTCTTCTTTTCATCTTTTTCTCTGTTTTTTCTTTTTACTATTTTCATTCTCAATCTCATATCTTTGCACTTTCACTGATATTGCAGCTGGCCTTCTTAACCTCTTCACACAGGCGTGCAGATCATACAGATACACAGATGCACAGAAAAAGCAAGAAGTGAGAAGGAAAAAATGGCCCCAGGTACATACGCACACATCCACATATACGCCCCTTATCCCGTCAGATTTCCAAATCAAATTAGAGTGTAGTCTTACTAGTGTGCAAGTGTGTGTGTGTCTGGAAACCATTACCTGGCACGCCTCCCCTTTGCTGCCCAAAAACCAAGAGGCCCCATACAGATCCTGCCATCACCTCTCTCTTTCTCTTTATTGCCTTTTTTCATGCACATGTCCCCCCCCCCCCCCCCCCCCCCCACACACACACACACATTTAAAGCAAACTCTTTCTTTGTTTAATCCCTTTCATTTGATCTCTTGCCCACGTTCATTTGCTCCTGCAAATTTTCTAATCATTTACATCAGCGGTAACATTTCAGATCTGCGCTTTTCATCATTTCGATTGTGTTTAGCAGTCGGCTTCATCCCGATCATCATCAAATCTACGAGAGGGGCCTCGCTCGGGTTCCGCTGCCCCTTTCGTCAGCCTCACCATTCTCCTCCGAGATTCAGACGGCGGAAACTGAGCGCGGGAAGTGATGGAGTCAGGTGACAGGAAGGAACCCCTGCGTGGCATTCCTCTCATGAATTCCACATTATCTCTGGAACCCTGGAAGTCCTCGAGCAAAGGAAACACACCCATAACACAAATTCTAAGACAGCTCCTCTAAATAGCTCACGGTCACAGACGCGGCCTGAATGAGAACCTGTTCCCTCCCAAGATAACATCAGACCATATAATGTTGATGCAGAAGAGCCACGTAACAACAGTTCCTTTCCTTCTTGGTCACAGCACCCAGCTAACTCAGGTTACCGATGACAGCAGGAAGAAAGCAGTAGTTAAAACTCCAGTAATACCCGATGTATAAATAACAACATTATTTTTTAACTAATGTGTTTCACTTTCACTTATGACCTTTATCAAGGTCGCTGTGTTCTGTAAATGATACACTTTTATAGCACCTTTCTAATCAGCTGAACACAACAGCTCATTGCATTTAACCATGCAGTCATGGTCAAGACAACCTGCTGAAGTTCAAACCGTGCATCAAAATAGTGAAGAAAGGTGATTTTGAACATGGTATGGCTGTTGGTGCCAGACACATCAGAATATTTAAAAAACAAGTACTTAGTATCAAACAAGTATTGTATTAAAGCCATCTTTAGACGTCTGCTTCCATGGGATAACTTACCGTGCCAGAAAGTCCAGATCATCTCAACTTCTATTTTTTTAACTGTTAGAAGAAAATAATTTTCTAAATCTGGGATAAATTAAATCAGTCTTATATCTTATCTTATTAGCTCTTCTTAATGTTGCTAATTAGCATGCTAAGTTTTATGATAAACTAAGTCACTGCTGATGGCATTACTGGCTTCAGTCTTATCAGTGTCTTTGATCAAACTGATTGTGCAGCATGAACATGCAAGACCTTTCCATTTAAAGAGAACATATTCTACTCATTTCCAGCTTCAAAGCTAGTAACTTTACTGATCCTTATTTATCATATACCTTTGTGCAGCCAACAGTTCCTTAACTGTCTAAAACAGGCTGTTTCTCTGCTATTAAAGCCAAGTTCCTGCTGACTGGCTGCCCCTTGTAAACAGAAGGTTTAAAAAAGCAGGTGGGTGGGGCTACTCTGCCAACATCTAGAGCAATGAAGCTTTAACCTCATTATTTGACACTTTAGCAGTGTGTATATGAGCTTCCAGGATTGTAAATAACAATGGCACAATACATAAACTATGGAAATCATAATAAATGTGAGCCAAAGTATATTCAGCAACCAAGAGGCCCCCAAATCTGAACACTTGAGGCCCACAGTGTAGAACACACGGGGGGAACTGGAGGGGGAGTGAAGCAGCAGTATTGGCAACGCCGTTTCTCATTCTTTCAAACTTTCAGGAACAAATGTACAACATGAGGATTTTTTTTAGTCATGCTTAAATTAAACACAGTGCATGCCTGTTGTTCATTGCAGTGCTAACAGAACCTTGGATCATAAGCACCTGCATGCAGGAATATTGCAAGAATTCTGAGTTTCTGCAGAAAAATAAAGGCCAGTATTAGAGTTTTGGGTGCTTTGCGTGTGTGTGCATTAACGAGTCATGTCCTGTTTGTCTGTGTGTGAGGGTGTGTCTGATGTTCCACAGTGTGTGCACAAACTGTACATGCAAATGTGTTTCTGTGTGCGAGCTACATCGGACTAAGTCACCGGTGCAGCCTGGGGTGGGGACCAAGAGCACAGGAAAGCCTGAAGTAGATGGAGTGGAAGACACCCCCCCCACACACACACACACAAAAACACATTAAGTATGTCTGCCCTCTGACATAAAGTCTGCGCTATTGTGTAATAAAAAGTATAGGGAGCAGGGGATGGGGGGGTGGGGGTGTTACAGGATGTGTGTGTATGATTTATGATTCAATAGCAAAAGACAAGGGATGAAATTTATAGCAGAGGGAAGTGAGGGAAAGGGGGAAGAGGGAGGGGGATGTGGTGCAGCAGCAATGAAGAGGGGGAAAAAGGGGGAAAAGTCAGAGGGGAACATTTCTGCAAATGTGTGCGTACCTCGTTATTTTACCACAAACTCCTATAACAATATATGTGTGGATGTATGTGGTGTGCATCTATGCTCAGTTTTCCAAGTCCGTCTTGAAGCAACACTCTGGTACCCATGTGACCACTGAGACCGTTTTTGTTGGATGTAATCATTCGTTTCATAGCAGCCGTTAAAAGATTGTTTCCCGATGGGGACTAAACCTGCATTCCTTGTTCTGAGTTGCAAAGTTTAGCTGAAACTTAGAAGTTTGAGTTAGTCAAACAAAAAGTGGTATGTTTAAAAGTTACAGCTTCTTTTGTGTTACTTTACCTCAACTGCTATTCATAGAAAGGCGTGTGCACAACACACAGAAGGAACCTGATCCTAAGAAAAGCTGACACTATAGGGAACATCTGGTGCGCTTGAATGCTCATTTTATGTCTAGTATCTCCTTCTGAGCACACACACACACACACACACACACACACACACACACACACACACACACACACACACACACACACACACACACGTCGGGTATTCATATCTTATGGGGGCATCTAATTGACATAATGCTTTCCCTAACCCCTTACCCCAACCCTAACCATGAAAAGTGAATGACTAACCCTAACCTTTACCCTAAACCTAACCATAACCCAATTGTAACCCTCACACTAAAACCACATTTTGAGTCTCAAAAATGCCTTCAAACTCGTGGGGACCAGGATTTTAGTCCCCACAAGTATAGTAAACTTCCAAATGTTGGTCCCCACAAAGATATGAATACACACTTAAACACACACACACACATGCATGTATTTTCATAAAGCTGAAATGCAGAAATAATGTAGCAGGTTTGGGATCTGTTAAAGTTAGGATTTATGGTGAAGTCCTGTTTCTCTGTGATTACAGTCAAAAGCAGTGATGTGGTGTATAAACCTGGTCTGTCTGTGCCAGAGAAATCAGACCTAAACCAGACCCTGACTTTGAACTCGGGGAATGTGTGTAAAAGAACACAAATCATGAGCACTGCACTGTTTTCAAAAGTCATAACCTGAATGATGGACTGTTACGTTTTTATGACTTTGCTCATTCTGTCATCTGGCACATTTTTGTGACTAAAGCTGTGTCCGCTTCCTTCAATAATTGCGGGAGGCTCATATTCCCTTTGTTCTGCTCTACTTGGATCCAAACTTACTTCATAATAATGATAATGTTCCTGTCGGAGGGCACGTCATACAGGCCAACAGCCACCCTGTGTGCAACAGTCGCCCTCCGCTGTGATGTCAGAGTAATGCACCCTTCCTACTGAAAGTTGCCAGGATTAAGAAATGTTGGCAGAGCACGGAGGCTGAATGTTATTCTGTTAAAAGGCTTTGCTTTCAGCCTCAGCAAGGTGTTAAGAGTGCCAAAAACCTAAGTGTTGAAACAATGCTGCTAACCAAAAATGTGTCTAAAAATAACCTGTGAATGACAACACTGACTCCTTATTTTCTATAATGTAGTTTCAAAGAATAAAAGAGAGAACGACAAAAACACTTTTATGAAGGATCTCAGTTTCCTTTGGAGACAGAGCTTCTCTGCTGATCTCTCAGTTGAGCCCACTGTTGCTGTGGACGCTCAGGTGCTTGTACTCCTCGACCACATCAACATCCTGTCGCAGGACAGACACCGGCCATGTAGCCGTCCTCCTCCTTCAGAAGTCGATCGCCAATTTCCCGGTCTTATTCGTGTTCAGAAGCAGATGACTCCTCCCACTACGTGTGGAAAAGTGATCCCTTTGACCTGAAGTTGCTATTTCAGTGTTTGTGTATGATGTCTCTGAGACTTGATATCCACATTATGGATCATCTCAGGCACACAGCTGTGGCTGTGAGTGCAGAAGCCCCGCCCACCTGATCAAATTCTATTTGTGAGTGGGAAAAAAGCAAAATCAGCTTATTTTAAACTAGTCATGCAAAGTTAGTTATTAATCCCTGAGGGCTAACTGCAGAAAAATCACACTAGCAGAAGATGGATTCAGCGCATCGCCTTCTGGCTAATTGGCCCAGCATGCTCTGGCTGC